TAGAATTTGTATCTGTCAATTTCTCAGTAACTTGCTTTGAATCTCAAAGCAAGGTGATAGATTTTTCAACAAGTTTGAACTGTACAGGATTGTGGATAGATTGTTGGTATGTGTCATAGCTTGTTGAAATGATTGCGCTTGCCATATACACTCTCAGGGTGTAGTTTTCTGCCTGTGGTTTGTCTTGTTTAGAATGTTTAGAAAGCAGCTGTTCCCCTTAGCAATAACAAAGGGGCATAATTTTAAACTGAAAGGCAGGAGGTTTACAGGGGATTTGAGGAAAACCTTTTACATCCTGACAACGTGAAAGTCTGGAATACACTGTCTGGTAAGGTAGTTGAGGCAGGCAACCTCACAACCATTTAAAAACTTGGATGAGCACTTGAAATAACTTTAAAGGCTATGGGCCTAGTGTGGGAAAAATATCTGAGTTGATTGTTAGAATTGACAGACATCAATCATAGAATCATACAGTAGAGGCCCTTCAGCCATCAAGTCTATGGGCTTAGGGTGCAGGAAAGTGGGGCTAGAGTGGGCAATAGGGTGTTTTTGGCAGTGCAACTTGATGGGCTGAATGGTTTTACGATTGATATTTGACAATCCTAACAATCAACTCCAATATTTTTCCAGATTTCTGTTATGCAAATAAAGATCAGATTCACCTCAAGTTCTGCTACCTTGATCTGAATGTCAAGCCAACCTAAACTTCACTCAAACTTATAAAGTAACATAACAAATAATTACAAACTTGCTACTTCAAATATTCTGGACAAAAGAATTTAAAAATAAAAAACTTCATTTGATGATGGCATAAATCACACAAACACAAGTATTCACAGATTTTATGACTGACATTAATTTGAAGGATCAAACAATATTACATAGCTGTCTCATAGCCACATGTTTAAAAAAAATTTAAGACTGAAATTACACTGCCAAATGCTAGGGGCTAATGTGATGCAAAAGCATTTGACTGTTTCATGGCAAAATGCAAAAAGGGAATAACTTGAATTATAAAGCAAAATTACCGGAGGACTAACAGCAGACTTTAAATTATAATTCCATATTCTATATCACATCATTTTTTTTTTTAAGACACAGGCTAAAACCTGAATGGCAAATCCTAACCTTACCTCAACAATGGCATAACCTTTGATGGGTCGTGTCACAAGCGGGTTATTGTCCAGTGATGTGACAGTGTACATAGATCCTACATCAGAAATAGAAGCAGAGTCTGCACTGTCCATGGGTTCTCCCAGACTACCAAGACTGCCCAAGCTCCCGGTGCTGCATAGGGATAGGTCCAAGCTCTCCTGACTAGATACAGTGTGTGGATCAACAATTCCTTGTGGTGTAGCAATGTCATGACTTGCTTGAAACTGGTCTACTGAAAGATCACTTGTTGTCCGAGAAACGCACTGAGAGCTACAAATTGAGGTCTGACTGGTAGAGGCAGAAGCACTCATACTCATAGCTGGTGTGACACTGCTGCCACTGCTAACATCCATACTGTCCATGCTGTTGACTGTTGTTGACTTATCCAGTTCCAATTTGCTATCAGCTTTCACTTTCAGCTTTTTAGGGTCATCATCTTGTAGTGGTATGTAAATTTCATCTTTGAAAATGCCACCATGTGCACTGCAAGCCCTGCGAATGGCAGTTCGGACAACACATTCCTCAAGATGCGTTGGTATTCCTGAAATCACCAGTAATCTGCTGTGGCATGTGGAGCCTACTAAAGCCTGGCAGGCATCCGAGATGGCATCATTTGTCACTCCCAGACCTTGCGGGTCCTTGTTGGTCAGATGACGGAGGATCATAAGTAAGGTCAAGGCCCGATGGAACCACAGCATGTCCTCTGGCTTACTGCCACCAATGTTCAGGATAGATGTGTCACTCTCACTGCCTCTTGAGGTTAGCCGTTTTCCTGTTGCTGATGTTTTCTCCCGTTTCATTTTGACCTTTTTGCGCTTGGATAGCAAGCTGGGGCTCTGTGGTGTCTGCCCAGGTGAAGAGGAAGAGGAAGAAGAAGAATCGCTGAGACTTGGTGCACTTGTGGAAGTCATCACATTAACCACTGTGCTCATATTGATTGGTAGTGTTACTTCTGCAACAGCAAGACAAATCTCCATCAACGCATGGAAATAAGTGGAGAAGCGGCCCTGGTCAGTCACTCCAATTCCAATACCAGAGCTGTTCCCAGTTATCCAGTTTTGCGTTTCTTCATCATACAGTTTCCGCAGCTCAGTTTGTATTGCCATTAGAACAGCCAGGCACGGGTTTAACTGGATTGCAATGGATGAAGATAGGCCACATGGATTCTTTTTCTGTTCTAGCTGATGGATTTTACGTAGCAGTTCAGCTAATAGGTGGAATATCATTTCCTTTATGCTGGGGGACAGGTCTGTTGTCCACAGGAGGTTGGCTATAATTTTGGGAGGTAATCAAATGCAGAAAAAAGGCATTAAACTACATTCAAGTTAATCATAATACTTAGATAAAATACATAAAAGAGGCCTACATAATACTTATACATTGCACACAAATGAGGGGGAGAAAAATAAGATTTCAGTGAGGGTTGCTGCACCTGCCCGCTAACCCATGAGGCTAGTTGATGTATGTGCAGTTGGACAGAGAGCTGAGGCAGCTCAGCTGTGGTCCTCCCGTAATAGATTAGCTTCCTTTGTTTGGATGTACCGATGGTCAAGGCTCTTGTGTCCCATGGAACACAGCAGGTTTAGCATATTCAGAAGGGGAGAACATTTAGGTGGATGGATGTTAAATTGTAAAATCTTCAGTTATACAGGAATTATCAGCTACTCGTACCAGCACACCAATTAGATCTAGCCAATCCTGTGCATTGCATGATATTGACAAGTTACCTTTTCTGAGAATCAATAATAGAATCGATTTGGTTTTGTTTGGTATCGAGATGCCATTAGACAGGTACATAAAAATTTACATTTATGAATGAAGCACGTAAAAGAACCACACTCCTCAAATCCATTACTTGTCTTACCAAACAGTTCAACAACCTGCAGGAGAACTGATGCAGGAATATCATCAAGATCATCCTCGGATTTCCCATCATTTTCACCAAGTTTCCATGTTAACAACTGCTCAGCAAATGCCAGAGCGAGAGGAAATTCCAGAGGCAACGAGTTTAACACCAGCACCGCACCAGGTGGCGGGGAGACACCTGGGTAGAAGAAGTTGAAAACCAAATTAAATAGCTTGCCAAAGAAAAACATAGAAAATAAGAACAAGAAGAAAACATGCATATTCACAGTGACAGAAATGAGCTAGAGAGAAAAGTGTCTTCACAAACTTTATTGATGATTTTGATCAATGATTTAATTGAAAAGGCAGAATGGTATGTATTATTAAACCATAGTGACTTAATTCCTAAACCAAGCGAAGCTTATTATACTTAACTGAGGCACCACAACTGACCTCAAAAGTTGGATTAAAGCCTGGAGAATAAAACTAGAGAGTTCCTCCCAGATTCTGGCAGGGCTGTGTATAACAGAGGAACAATGTCTGCAGCTCAGCACTTTCCAGGCCAAAATTTATTTAGAAAAATGCCAATTGAGGGAATTGCTCTCTTAGGGTCAAATTTTATTGCCCTGGATTTTGAGAGAATGATGGCTAAACTATTAGTTAACTCCAGTTAAATATGGAAACCCAAAAGTTGCTGTCAGTGATTCTATGCTCAGAGTGTGCGATGTTGAGGCCATTCTTGATTGTAATGAATTGGACATCTATGAACTGATGATAACTTGTTGTCTCACGCTTGGTCTCTCTGTAAAACAAAATCTTGAAAAGCTGTACCTTGTTGAATGAGGATTTTTTAAAAAAGGCATATTAAATTCATAATTACTGTGAAACAACTTCGTTGATCACAAAATGACAAAGTAATATTTTTGAATGATTACGACAGATTTCACTTCTTTAAAAATAAATTTAAGTTTGACATTCTATTTAACTCCACGTTTATGTCCCAATTATTTATTTCACCATCTCTAAAAATTTAAACTGATAGAATTCAGTGGCTTTTCTTCCTGGTTTGCTGTTCATGAGAATACTTCAAAGAAATTGGTTGCTTAAACCTGCTTGATGACATCACAACAGCTAGATATCTGAAGATCCCTTGGCTTCTGAAAGGACACACCACAACCATTCATTTTTTTTGGGCAGCTTTCTTTGAGGTCAGTGGGGAGCACTGTTGCTTTGCTTTCTGCAAAAGCCAGCCCAGTTTTTTTTTTAAAGTTTCTGATTTATTCAAAGATTCGGTCAGTTATATGTTTTGGAGATCATGTTGCAGGGCCATTCCTATCTTAGACATACCTAGTTTGACATGTAGTTTGTCAGTAGGGATGACAACAGAAGGATACTGGTTTGTGGTGGGAGGTGGAGTCAACCCAGTGTTGGTAGGTGATGCATCTTTCGGGTAACAGACGGTTTCTGTCAGGTTAAGTTGTCCATTTCTTCGCACTTTGTGACCCAGTCCATACACCAACACTCTAACCCAAGGAGCCTTATATAGAGAGGAACTAAGCAATAAAAACAAATCAAAGGATAAGAATTGTTTATAATTGTAAATTTTAGGCATAGTCACCAAATTTCAGTAGAGCACAGCCCTCATATTTCAAATAGGTACCCTCCATATAAAATTCCATAGCCATTAAACCTTCAGTTAAGCTTTTAAGATACATGCTCATCAACAGAACAATGCTCTAACTCTTACGCGTGGCAGTGAACAATATGGAGTTGATCTGTCAAATTCTGCCAAACTTTCCTGTTCCTTTAAAGCGAATGTAATTTGCTGTTCCTTGCAGCCAAGTTTTAAGTAGCCAGCACCTTGTTAGTAGACAATTATAAAAGGGCCGTTGTTAATATGGGATAATCACTGGCTTGCCTGGAACAGGTGGCATGATCTTTTCAAGTAAATGCACAACAGGTCAAGTCTGTCATAAATTACCAGCAATTAAACTACAATTTTATTTGCTTGGCAGCAGAAAAATATTGAAATAACCAAAAGACTTGTTTAATCAACTTGTTTTCACATGTTTTGACATACCTCTGTGAAAAATGGGACTTGACTTCTGAGACTTCTAGCCCTGAGATAGGGGCAGATACTTTTAATAAACGCTTTCACACGTTATGATACATCTCTGTACCAGATGGGAATTCAACCCAGGCCTCCTAGACCACAGGTAGGGGCACTAACAATGCACCACTAAAATTCTTGTAAAAATAATTTTTCATTCACACTCAGCCAATAACCTTTGATAATATTTCTGTATAGTTATGAAGGGGAGGCCTTTACGATGGCAAGTTTAAGCAACAACTGGATAAATTAATTGGACAAAAATCAAATTCAAACCAGAGGTTGGTGAAGATCTTTCCAAAAATGAATACTGTATCATGCCACTTGATGCAAATACATTCTTCAATTTCTGTGGCCGCAATCTAATCCAGTCCTGATTTAGATGACTGTCACTTAAGACTAGGTCATTAAATCTTTACACAAGTATAACACTTTCTTTACCTACTGGAGAATGATTATAGTGTTTCATTTACTGCAGTAAAGAAGCAGCAGTTATGTGTTGTGACTTCCTAGGTGTCTAAAATACAATATTTGCACAAAATATCAAATGCAGTTGCAAGATTGAGGGATCAAATGTATAAGTTTTATTAAATATTGAAACCTCTTCTAAACGTTCACTTCATTAAGCATGCTTCAATCAGACTTACTCTTTCCGAAAACCTGCTGGACTTTCTTTGCACGATACCATTACAAAGGCAGCCCCTGGAAAATGCACATCCATGCTCACTTTTGACTCTGTCACTGGGAACTCTTCAGATGGGAACTGTTCTGGTGAATGCTACAATGCAACAGAATAAATGTCACTTTGATCAGTTTGGGAAAAAAAAAGCACTGTTATTTGAATTTTGATAAAAATTAATCTTAAAAATCCTCTTATAAACCTAAAACCGCAATATGCAAAATGACAAACACATTAATTTTAAAACACAGTACAAGGACACAAAACACAATGATCATTTGTCCCGTAGCTATTTACTCATCCCTTAAAACTACAAAGTTATTTAAAGAAAACTTATCAAATTGAGAAAGCGAATTCCACATTGCTTGAGCAATTGAGATGAATAGGGTGTGAGAGCTACATGATGCTCAAATCTGCCTAGTTGCATTGAACCATAAAACCTTTAGAAGTGACCGCACGTTTCTGTGTCTTGCAAAAACTAGATGTGTAACATGAAAAGACAAAGGATGACGGATTTTAAGTGTGTCTCCTAAACAAAATATTACGTTCCTGCCTCGAGCTTACTCTTCTGTTCCAAAATATTCTACATTCAAACTTTACCAGCTAAAAAATAGATTTTAAATAAAAACTGCTGAAGATTTAGGTTAAGGTTCTTGAATATTAGAAAAGCACCAGTCCAGCGGCTGGAGAAGGTGCTGCCAGTCACACTAGTTAAGATGTTCGGACACTGTTTTATGGTTGAATGCAGTATAAAATTGGCCTTATTGGCAATCTTGCAAATATGGTTCCAGCCATTTGTTCGCTATGCAAGCTAAATATTGAAACAGGGCACATCAAACATTATCCTCTGGGATAATGGTCCTCCTGATCATAACATTTCTGTTGTTTATCTTGCAAACTCGCAAAAAGCCCAATGATGGTCACTCTTGAGACTGAAGAATGCCTTGTCTATCTCAGATTCCTCTGGAAGGAAAAGGTTTGTCAAGAGTTTTAACAACAGGTGCAACTATCAACACATTGTTTTCATCACTAACAGGATGCTGCCATCAAGCCAAAAAGATGCACTGCCTTTCACACAAATCAGTAACGTGGCATGTGAGTTTCAGCGGCATTGTGCTATTAGGTAAAAAGAGGCTGCACATCCAAAGACTGGTTCTTCATATCAAACAAAATATCCTATCAGCTGTTCACAATAAGCAAGGTTTGGACCAGACCCAAACAGCCCACGCTTGCAAGACTTATTGTAGAGTCCAAGAATATTTGCTGTGTAACCTTGCGTGTGCAAAGAATTATGCTGACAACTAATTTAGGATTGTCAGTTGGGCTCACAGGACCACACACGTGCATGGACTGGAAGCTACATATTTTAATACAGACAGAGAACACATACATGTTGTACCTGCTTAAATGCAACAAGTGACAGCCATTCTCTGGTCATTTCTTAGTGCAGTGCTTTGACCAATTAGATGCAATGTACCTTACTTAAAATTTAACCAAAGCTTAGCAGTTAACTGTCATAATTAACTAGTACATTCTCCATGGCAACAACAGTACTGAAGTCCACTGCCATCCAATCAGTAGTCTCCTATACTTAGGTACTTCTTGCAAATTATCCTAATGAATGCAACACCAAAGCTTCCACAAAACATCAGTTTTTCAGCAATATTATTTTTAGTTAATGTCTCTTCCTGAAACTGTTAAACAAATTGCTCACACAGCTCACACACTATTTAGCTTGTCTGCCTTAAACTCATTTCAACAGCCTTGTAGGATGTCTTCCTCTCAAACACCTCATCAGACTTTAAGAGACCTCCTTTCAGGCTAGACTGCTTGGAAACTGTTAATATCAGTACATCCACTGTTAGGGACCTTTTCTATCTGCACACTGCCTGTCTTCTGGATTATTCCCAGTTGGTGTTACAGGACTCAGTGCTAGACAACAGCAGTCATTTTCCTCTTTTCTCCTGCCCTATTCACATCAAAAGGTTTAAAGACCACATTTAAATGCATGTAAACAAAGTAAATCTTCAGACACTGCTGTACAACATTGACTCTGAATCTAAAATGAACCTAAATGTATGTCTCCCTTTCTTATCACTAGGGAGAAATTATATTTTTATTTGAGTTATACATTGCTCTTCCACTTTAGAACTTCAGCTCACAAACAGCAATATAGTATGAAGCTTCAACACATGATTTTAGAAAATCAGAGCAGTAACATATACTATTCAATATCAAGTATCAATTATTTCTACTGCATTCTTCTGTTATTGGACAAATGTTTTCCAATGTTCCACCTCTTGAACAAGGTCACAGAAAGGAGTCAACCTGCATACTGCTGTGTGAAATTTAAGGTGTGGGTCCATTCTGAAACAATAATTCAATATTCCAGTTCATTTTTATTCAGTCTTCCAGATTATGTCAAAACTGGGAAACCTTTAATTTCATTGCTCCTGCCATCTTGAGGGTCTTAAAACCCATGATTCGTGCTGTCAATTCACTTCCAGGTACATTCTTTTAATCAGGATTGTATTTAGCTGGATAGCCATTGCCTCCAACCAAGTTTCTCAATGATATTTCAAAAGAGCATTGTGCCTCATTCACTGAAGTTACAGAGATCCCTTTAAGGCACGTGATCAATGAGAGAAGGTGGTATTGCATTTTAACAATATATGTAAAACTATAATATATAATATAACACAATAGTTAAGAAAGTGGTTTCATTGAAAAAAAATTGTTAAATTCAGATGCATCAAATAGAAAATGAAGAAATATTACCTGTAAGAAAGAGCAGATCTGTTTTGTTAAATCCAACAAGCTTTCTTCACCCTGGTGTAAGGCTCGTGTGATAGCAACTGTAAGCCATTCCCTTATGGAATTGGAGTTGCCCTGGTAGAAGAGATCAGTAGGAGAGCAGTTTTGACCCTGATTACAATGTTGGAGGGACTGCGCCAAAAGAATTGAATTGGAGCTGATTGTTCCATCTGCAGGGCAAGATGAACAACAAATTTCTCAAATCATTTCACCAACCTCTCTCTTTCAGATCGTGTGTGTTATTTCAAACACATGGTATTTATACTAATTTTCTTCATGATTACTGCACCCACTCATTTATAAACTCACCACATACAGAGCTTAACAAACACAAACCCTTAGAGGAAAGACAAGGATATGAAATAGAGACTCAATTATTTGTGGCTGCCAACTTCATTGATACCAAATGTCATTTAAATGGACTAAAGGGGCTATACCAGTTAGAGAAACTTCCTCTTTTACAATGCACCACTGAACAAATTTCTTCTTCACCAGTCCCAACAAGAGGTGGTGGGGGAAGAAAAGCTGAAAAGCTGTGTACTTCTACCGAATGGCTTACAAAGCAATTAAAACCAGACCCACACAGGCAGTACCTGGTGGGAGCAGCAAAGAGAGCTAAATAATTTTTAAATTAAATTTTATTAAGACTATTATTAATCTATCCTTCCCTTTGTGCATTCTCACATTTGAGTTATGGATAACAGTACAACACTGACAATGAATTATGGCTGCTACTTTAATACAAGAGTTATAGCATCAAACTGAACCCAAATGGAAAATATCAGCTCATTCTTAACATTGAGCACTAAAAACTGTTGTATAGGAAACATTCCTTATACAAAAGAGCTAGAAAAGAATAAATCAAGAAGTTTGATTTATTATTTTATATTGAAACAGTTTCTTAAAGAATTTTTTCTATTTCCCAGTTTTTGGGTTCCCCAAACACAATTTTGCCGTCAGGAGAACCACATAACTTCAATATATGTTGCTTGGTAAACAGCTGCTTGGAGACAAATGGTAGCTGCAGCTAACTTGGCTACAGATTTTCATCTTTATGTACACTCCCCTCTCTTCCTTCCTTCATTTTTACATGTTAATAAGATGTAAAATTGTCAACAATTATTAACAATTAAAAGTTGAACAGAAGTTTGTTCCCTTCTCAAACTGCTGTGACAACAACGGGACAGATCCTGAACAAGCTGCAGTTATTTCACCATTACTTCAATATTTACGATCAGTTTATCATTCAGCTCCACATGAGTTTGTCATTACCAACCTGAGAGTGGTGGAGCCAGAAGTTGATTGGACAACAGTTGCAGATGCTCCAATGTGATGTCACGTACCGCAGGTATATGGAACAACCGGGTGAAAGTGTGGGGTGATTTTGGAGCAAAGATGTTCAGCAATGCCATACGGCAATACAGTCTAGCCAAAGAAGCTTCACAGCGAAGTAACTCTCTAAGCAGTCATGAAAAAGTGAAAACACACCAAAGAGAATTGAAAAAATCATGAATAATCAAAAACAAAAAGGTTTATAATAGTCTAATCAATTATACAAACTGTACCCCTTTGTCTCCACAATTAATTATATAATTTGGTGGCAGTGGATCAATGGAGAAATATTTTCTGTTGCCACTCTTTCATTTTTCCAATCCAGGTGACATTCATACTAGACTGTAGAATGGAAAATGGAAACTCCCATTTTGCTCACTGTATTCACTGAACTAACAAGAGTTTGCACCTGCATCTATTTGTTGAGGTGGAAGTGATGGACAGGGCAAAGACGGGCAAGCATGACAAAAAGAAAACAACAGCTCACTGAAGATGTGATTTTCATCAAGATAAATCTAGTTAAAAGTTGATCATTTTGGACAATCATTTGGGAATGAGGGCAGTGCAGAGTATGCACGCAACCATTTAGATGTAACTGCTCTTTTTAAAAAAAAAGAAAGATGTGAGAAATCTAAATATTCTATTCACATTTGACAGTGACAATTTATAATGACCACATTTCAAGGGTCAGAATATGCAGCCTTTGTCAGTTGGTGCACTTTCAAAAAGTCATTTTCAAACTTGGACTTGATTTCTGTGCTGCTTTTTGAGGGAAATGAGCAAAGGAGGAGTTACTCAATTTTGACAGTGAAAGCGATCAGGCTTTAAGGCTTCAGGTAATAGTCATTTTGCTAACAACACTGAACTCCATGGATAGATTAACAAAGACAAGGAATGCTGTGCACTTGCTCTCATAATCAGTGAATACTTTTCTTCCCATAGATCTTAACTGCATTGAACCCAACTTGATCCAATATTCAGTAGTTTTGGCAAAATTGAGCAAATTGATCCATACAGACCAGGAAGGTGCCAGGTTCAACTTTCAATGTGTGTTGCTTTGGCCAAGAAGCCAGGGAAACAATGAAAAAATCAACTGGCTTGCGGCCACGAGTTCGAGGAGGGGGAGGAAAGATATTGTTGGTATACTTTTTGATTGCCATTCTGGAAGACTGCATGTATTAATAGTGGGCAATCACAAAATAACACTAGTTTGTAATGGAAAAACCTGCTAAGACACTTGCCAAGGAACATACATACGGACACTAGAATTTCTGACAAATTTGGAGGAGGAAGTTAAAATATGCCAAAACACAAAGTATGAGTTACAACACTACCACAGACTTCTGCCACTTTAAAGGAACAAACACCTGTGTTGCTTCATCTGCTCTACAGTCGGTTCTGCTATAATGCATGTTCTGGCAACGTGAATTAGCTATAACACAACTGACAAATAGGGGAATGTTATTTCTAAAACATGAACTTGTGTTGGTTTGTAATATGATTGTATCGGTGCAAAAGTATTGCAGGAAAAAAAAATTTGGATTTCAAGATTCTCCTCATCCTGGATAATGCGCCAAGCTATCCTCCCACCATTGGTGAGCTTGCTGAAAACATCAAAGTGCTATTTCTATCCCCAAACACATCTCCTTCAACCCATGGACCAGGGTGCAGTAGTAGTTTTTAAAGCTTATCATGTAAAACACACATTTAAAAGGCTGATTGCAGCCACTGAGGGGGATAAGGACAGTGTTCTTCAATTTTGGAAGAGCTTAAATATCAAGATTGCAAATTCACATTATCGTGAAGACTGTGGGTAATGTCAATAAGGAATCATTGTATGCAGTTTGGTGGAAGCTTTTCTCAGAGTTTATTCAACATTTTAAAGGTTTTGATCTGTCAGATGAGATGCCAAGAATCAGAGAACATGGTGTTGACCTTGCAAAGAAAGTTGGATTTGAAGAAGTGGAGAGTGAGGATGTTGAAGAGCGGCTTGAATCCCACTGTGAAGACCTCTCCACAGCTGATCTGCAACAACATGTCCCTGAGGAGGAAGTGGGAGCTGGAGATGAAGTAGCAGTCCAGGATGCAGCACCACGACAGCTTTCCACTTCTATTTTGTCTTCTGTCCGGAGGGAAATTGAGAAGTAGTTGCAGCTCTTAAAGGACGACGATTACAATGCAGAACGCAGCAGGGTAGCAGTTTGTGGAATCAGATCTTATTTGGCACCCTATGAACAGTTTCTTCATGAAAGAAAAAGGGCAAAGCAGGACAAAACTGTATTTTTTTTAGTCAACCCCCAAGAAACAGTCACAAGACAATGAACCACAGCCATCCATTTCTGGATAAACTATTTTTCACGCTAACCTGGCAACCACATGCGCACCTGAAGGTGATGAGGATGATGAGGACGAGGACGAGGACGAGGATGACGACAACCCTCAGTCTCTGCACTAACAATCTCAAAATATCCCCACCATCAATTATCTTGACATTTTTTAAAGGTGTTAAATTTACTTTTATTTCATTAGATATGAATTAAACATTTATTCAAACTGTGCTATCCTTTGTGTTAGGCTCTATGGTTTTGGAGGAGATCTGTAGCTCGGGTTGTGGGTGTTGAGGTTGGTTGGCTTGCCGAGCTGGTTTGTTGTTCCGCAGACGTTTCGTTACCGTGTTTGGTAACATCCTCAGTGCAGCATCTGATGAAGCGTCAGTGTGTTTTCCCGCTTGGTTTTTAAACTCTAGGGTCCGTTGTGATGGATTGCCTCACTTCGGGGTTTCCTCCGTAGTGGAATGTATATGGGGTCGAGTTCAATGTGTTTATTAATAGCATGCTTCATGGAGTACTTTAGGCTTTTGAGAGATTTTGAGTGATAGTTTTTGGTGGTCTGCCCCAATCCTGGTTTTCCCACAGGCCCCATTATTTCTATAGTGTGATTTTCTATGACATGTTGTTATGCAGGAACACAACTATCGCGTTATTGCGGACCCAACTGTACTATTGAGACAGTACATCCACAAACTACAATTTATGACAATAACTTTTTTTAAACATACAAAAAAGTTGGTATGGTACTCAACTTAAGTAACTACCAATTTGCATAAACAGGGAATCTTCTTTTGTGATAATGACGGTAAACTTTCACATGAACTTTGATTGTATATTCCTTGTTCCACTCTTGTATCCCTCACACATCTGCCATTTGAGTGCCTGCATTAACTGCTTAAATTCAGGAACAAACATTCATTAGCACTTTGTTTAAATTGGCAATTAAGTTGAAGTGCCAAAACACAAAGCGCAATGTAGAGATTTTAAGACGTTAAAGCAAAACAAAAATTGTTACCAGAAGGCATCAAAGTTTAAGTTTCGAAAGCCTGTTAACTGTAGGGAGAAAGACAGGTAATAACAAAGGCTGTTTTGTCTCAAAAAAAGTCTCACCAGCTTCTTAAAACAGCAACTGAAAAGCAAATTTTTACTGCCAACTTTTTACTTAGACATACTTAACCAATCTCAAAATAGGGTCAATTGTCATCCTCAAAATCACATTATAGATTTATGGTCATCGGGGGGAAAAAAAAATCACTACGTAAGAAAATTAAACAAATATTAATGGTAGCAATCGAATGAGGGCTTTATTGTCTGCTTACAGGTCATGCAAATGTTGTCCTTTCTTATAGTCATGGAAACTATTTGGTGGGTTTTAAAATTGACTGACATTTGTGATGGATATACATAAGTACATCAAAAACTAAATTTATGCTGGGTAAATGCACAGCATTCCAATAATTTAACTTATGCAATTTCATTCTTAATAAAATCTAACTCAGCTTAACTGAGTTTCAATGGATTGCATGTCCATATTGCATGGAATATCCTCCGATCTCAGATGGCAGCATTGGTTTCAGGTTTTCAAACCAGACTTTACATTTCAAACTTTGATGCTTCACTTTGAAATAACTTACCTGTGTATCTGGATGTTTGTGTTGTCCAGAGTAACTAGTCCATAAGCAGCTGTGCGCCTGTATCCTGCAGGAGGGCGCTCCAGCATATCAATTGGGTACCAATAACGAACCAGCACACCTTCGCTTCGTAAGTAGGTCTCCACCTGAACTAATTCATTTACCTAAATTGGGGAAAATGAATGGGCTGTTTGTGTTTTACATGGACCATGAAAGCAGTGGTAGTGTTTTAAGAAGTAGCAACAGGCGTGTCAACAGACAAATGGGTGAGCATTAAACAACTAGAATCTAAGATAATCATTACGCTTACAACCGCAGGGAGGGATCTTGTGCTACAGTGTTCACACATTTTCCTTATCTAGGAAGACACTAAGCAAAACCTTGCATTTTGCCAACCCAGAGTTACAGATATCAGTTGCTGAACAGGAGCTTCAGTTCCAGTTTCTGTCTGGCCCCAAACGATACAACACAATGGTCCTGCATTCTGCTGCATTAATAGCCTATGAAATTTATTTGTCTCTCTACCTCTGGGCCAAAAGGCCTAGGTTTAAACCCCACCTAGTCCAGGTGGTGTGTCTTCAGGTTGACTGTAAGTATCAAAAGCTTCAGGCCAAAAAAGGCAACCCACACTAGATATGGTTGACTTTCCCCTTCTCATCAGTGCTGCAGACTGGGCATTTTGAGGGTTTGGTATAAAGATTGTACAAAATAGTTCATCCATGCCAAAGGATAGGTTTACAGAAGCAGCCAAATTTATGTGGGCACCTTTCACTGCTCTCTATTGGAGTTGCCTGAAGCAGCCTCTTCTGAAACAGAAGATTCCAAATTCTGTTGTGAAGAATTGGTTTAACATGCTCACTACCACTAGATAGTCATGTAATTCTTAAACACAGATGCAGGAATGGCTAATTACATTATTACAAAGTCATTTTCTTGCATTCTTCTATTGAGCTTCAGAACTAACAGTTCTTTTGATTCACAACTGAAATAAACATTTCATGTATTTTAGACAGCGAAGCATGGCTCACTTGTGGTGTCAAAAATGAAAAGAATGATTGCAGGCATATTGTGTTTTCTAACATTCTGTAGAACAAGACAGCCAGTGCTCCCAATTCCTAATTTTCTTCACCATCACACATCTTCCTTATCTAGGAAGGCACCAAGCAAAACCATGTGTTTTGTCAACCCACAGTCACTGATATCAGTTGCTGAATAGGAGGTCTCAATCAGAATTTCCAGTTTCTCTCTGCCTCCAAAAGATACAACACACTTGTCTCACATTCTGCTCCATGAACAGCCTATGAAATTTGTTCTTTTAATGAATTCAAGTAATTACAGTTCTTGACTCAAATGTTTTCTAACTTACCGTGTCAACATCAAGAACAACTCCATTCAAGCCAAAGGTTTTCATCATTCCCCGGATGGCAAACTTCGGTAAAGCAGTGCCACCAGTGCTGCTGTTGAGATTATTACTGTCTGGGTACCGGATCACCACAGTTAGGCCTGTAGAACAGACCGCCAATTATGTGATATTGATATTGGAACAATTGTGCTCACTAACAGAGGTCAGGTTTACATTAATTCTGGACCAATCTGGCCCTTCAAAACAATGTAAAACAATGTAAAACGATGTCATGTGGACAAACAGGAGTCTGGAAGAACACAGCAAGCCAGGCAGCATTTGGAGGAAAGGAGCAGTCCATGCTTCAGGTATTACCCTCCTTCAGGGCTGGATGGGGGTAGTGGGGGAGCTGCAGATAAAGTGGTGGTGGTGGGTTGGGGGGGCAGACTGGTGGTGATGGTTGCCTTGCCCATAACAGCCAACCTAACCTCCCAGTCACCGCCCATTTCAACTCCCTGCCCCACTCCCCCTCCAACATGTCCGTCCTCGGCATCCTCTAATATCGCAGCGACTCACAATGCAAATTTGAGGAACAACACCGTATCTTCTGCCAGGGCACCCCACAGCTTGGAGGACTCAACATTGAGTTTTCCAATTTCAAATAACCTTCACACCCATCCCCCGCCTCCACCTCCAGCCATCAACCGGATTCAACACTCCTGTCGAGCAACCAGGTCATACCTACCACCAGTGTCCACCTATCACCACCATTCAGCCTCCCCACATCACACTGCGCACACCCCAACTTTATTTGCAGCTCCTGCCACCTCCACATCCAGCCCTGAAGAACGGTAATACCCTAAATATTGACTGCTCCTTTCCTCCAAATGCTGCCTGGCTGGCTGTGTTCTTCCAGCCTCCTGTTTGTCCACCTCGATTCCAGCATCTGCAGTTTTTTTTGTCTCTAAAACAATATCAGCTCAGATTCTGTACAGGCTATCAATAATAAAAGCACAGTTGGTCTAGACCAATGTTGTTCAAAGTCACTATGTGGACCTAACAATGCTGACAAGAATATATTTACATTAATCCCTGTTGCACACTACATTTCATTATATTGAGAATGACTTCATTGCTTTTGACTACATTGCTGAAAGATGTCCTCTAACACAGCGTTTTCTATTGAAAGCAATTCTGTTTGCTAAAACAGGGTGCAAGTACTACATGAAAATAGCCTTGTAACAGGTAAAACAAGGAAACTAATGGGCACAGAACCAAAAACAAGGAGATTCAGAGTCATACAACATAGAAACAGACACTCCAACTTGCCCAAGCCGACCAGTCTGACCTAGTCCCACTTGCCAGCATTTGGCCCATACCCCTCTAAACACTTCCTATTCATACACCTATCCAGATGGCCTTTTAAATGTTGTAACTGTACCTGCCTGCACCACTTCCTCTGGCAGCTCGTTCCTGATCTCCTTCAGTAGTCAGGGACTAAGGCAAAGACATTAACTACAAACTAGACAATAAATCCATTAAGGTTGATACTACAGGAAAAATAATTACCTTTTCGAACTTTATCAGTTGTGAATTTATTAGCTTCATCTTTAATGTCTTCAATGGTTGGGAGGTAGAGATCTCTGGGTATGCCACCATTCTCTTCATATAGGAACTCGACCGTCTGACGAGCAATATCTACCATACCTGGTGAAAACCAAGCACGCATTTTAAGATAATAACAATTTATCTGACATGCCTGAACACTATCATAAAAACTTGCAAACATTACAAAAACATTTTAAATACAAGACTAATATTAGTTGGAAGGAATTTAAAGAAAATCTTGGCTTTAATTTTCATTGCACACACCCACCATTCACCCGTTGTTCAGACCTCAGCAAAATGTTTTATACAAATTCACATTTTGTGTTTAGTGTTAAGTGAAATGCTTCAAAATTCAACACTGTCTGGCGTGTATGTTGCAATGAACTGAAGGCAAAAGTGCCATAGTCTCAGAGAACGACAGGGCTGCCCTCTCATGAAAGAGGCATAACTAATGTAACTTGAATGTTAACACACCTCATCCAAGGGACGAGGTAGGGAGGAACAGTCCTTCATCGTAACCTCAGCCAGTGCAAGAATTGAACCCACACTGCTGTTATCACTACGCATCGCAAACCAGCCTTCCAGCCAACTGAGTGAACTGACCCCCTAAAATTATCAACGTGTGCTGTCACATTTGACATCAAAGTCTGAGAGAATATCAGACATACATTCCTGGGTAAGGAGCATTATGAAAAAAATGTAGTAAGCATAATCCTTGTGTCTACTGACAATTAGTCTAAATGTGCATCTAAAAAATTCTGACCATTATCTTCCCAGCCCCTAAATGACATGGGCATTGGTGAGTCAGTTGGTAAAGTATGGGAACATTGTAAAAATTAGATTCATGTCATGAATGTAAAGAATGAGTTAGGTTCTACCTAAAGTTTTAATATTGCTAGAATATTGTTCATGAGCAATGAGATACCTATTTGCATGCATTAAAACCCAATTCTTATCTGGACCTCAGTTAGTATTTTGGCAGGCAATGGTGAGAAATGAGACTGTGGCAATTTCCAACATGAGAGTCTAAAGTGGATAACTAGCAACTCCTACTCGATGCTTGTTCCCCAATACCTCAGGGATCGCTCCAGAAGCAACAATAACTTGCAGTCTTCAACCACGGAGACTGGCATCAGACATGCACCAGGCTCACCACATCATCATGACACATCTGTGACTCATTTAGAATATAATACACCACTTCAATACGACATTTTGGACTGCATCAACACTTTTCATGGCCTGTGTTCAGGGACAGACACCCATCTCATGCATCAGAACAGGGTGCATCTCAGGGCTCTTAGTTTGCTCTCTTCACACTCACTCAATGATGACTGAGACACAAACCATTTTTATTTTTATTTTGTCTGTATTTTAATTGTAGTGTGTTTTGTTTCATGCCTGGTAGTTTGACCAACCGAATTGCATCCGGAACACTTCTTCCACTTACCTTTAAAATTAGGGGTCTAGGCTATCTTGTTAATATATTTTGAGGGGGCTTGGTCTGGTCCACAACAAAGCCTATCTCATCTCTCCTTATAGCTCAATTGCTCCTTCCCAGGCAATATCCTGGCAAACTTCTTCTGTACCCCACTCCCCAACCCCCGCCCGCTATCACATCCTTCATGTGGGGAGGTGAGCAGAACTGCACACAGTACTCCAGCTCTGACCAGACCAACTCACCATACAACTCCAACATTACCTCCTTGTTCTTCTACTCTATGTCACAACTGATGAAAGCAAGAGTCCCATATGCCTTCTTAACTGTCCAATTCATGTGTTTTCCCAACTTCAGGGATCTATGAATAATTACTCCAGGATTCCTCTGCAGTGTAAAAATAGGGAAGTCTTACGAAAATAATACAAGGCACTGGTTAAACCATACCTAGAAAACTAAACAGCTTTGGTCTCCTTATCTAAGGAAAGGTATATTTGGCATTAAAAGCAGTTCAGAGAAGTTTCCATAGTTTATGGATGGATTTTCTTATGAGGAGAGGTTGAGTACCTTGGGCCTGTACTCATTGGAGTTTAGAAGAATGAGAAAAGACCTTCTTGAAGCATAAAAGATTCTTAGGGACTTGACAGCGTAGATGCAGAAAGGTTGTCACCGCTCATGGGATGGCCTAAGACCAGAAGGCATAATCTCAGATTAAGAGGTGACTCATTTAAAATGGAGATGGAGGAATTTCTTCGGAGGCTGCCAATCTGGAACTTTTTGAACCACAAAAGGCTATAGATGCTGGGTCATTAAGCATATTCATGGCTGATGTACATATTTTTAAAACTGAAAGGGAATGAAGGGTTATGGGAAAAGCAGGAAAGTGAAGATGATCAGATCAGCCATGATCTCACCTGAATGGCAGAACAGATCGGATGGGCTGAATAGCCTGCTTCTGCTCCTACATTTACAGTCACAGTTAGTCAAGGGCAGTGTTTAGTCTCAGTCCAGAGTTTTGGTTATAGTCAGTCAGCAGCTTGGGGTGATCAGAAACAGGGGTTCCATCCCATTACAATCAGGAGTTGGCCACAGCCAGCACTGCAGCTTTAATGCAACCAGTCTAGCAATTAATGGTAAGTCAATTAGGAGCTGCACAGAGATCATTCAGTGGGCTGGTCACTTATCAGTTGGATCTGTCCTTCTAAAGCCCGGGGTTCTGTTCACTGAAAGTCAAGTGGGTTATAGGGGGCAGTATATCTTGATAGTTGGCATGACTAAGCTGCAGGCCCAGGACTCAGGGGGCAATGCTGAGAGATGATAGAGCTGGGCTAGGATATAAAAAAAATTTAAGAACTGATGGGGTCAACAGGGAATGCAAAGAAAAAGGAACAAAGGTTTAGAGGCTATCTAAATTAACAGCCTGAACCTGTAACTCTGCAAAATGCAACCTGTGTTGCCCAAGTACAAGTGCACAATGTCAATAAAAAAAAATGACTGCCACCACAGCTGGAATGGAGGGAGTAAGTGTTTCTTTTTCTGTCTGAAGATGTGGGTTCAACTTGTGAGCAATGAGAGGCCCTCCAAGGAGCAGTTGCATTAATCAGATACTTACACTGTTTTAAGAACTCTGTACCATAGAATTCTGCATGTGAAATGCATGCAATGACCAATTATGTCAAATACAAATTTCTGCGGTCACACAATCAATCCTAGCGAACGTGAAAGGAGCCCAAGGGTAAACAGAAATAAAATTCACAACTTACTAAGGATCATATGATATCATTAACTATGAAAGGCAGAATAAACTTTGCTTGTCCTAGAAAATGGCAATGGATTAAGTGCATGATAAAGGCAAACAGTAAGTAACAGAATGCAGCTAAAATGGTTTCAGTGTCATTTAAGCCTTTAGAGACAATGCTGCTAAACAACTAGAACTGCCAGAGAATAAGGGATTTCTGTTGACCAAATCAATACTGCTAACTTTAGCAATACTACCAAAACCAGATTAATTGGGTATTTGGGGATAGTAGGAACTGCAGATGCTGGAGAATTTGAGATAACAACGTGTAGAGCTGGATGAACACAGCGGGCCAAGCAGCAGAGGAGCAGGAAGGCTGACGTTTCGGGCCGAGACC